GATGGTCTATCCTAATCTTCCCAACACGATTATATCACCAAAAACACCGGTAAATCTTATAATAAAACCAGTGAAAGTAGGGGTAACTAGAAAACGAACCTCGTCACAAAGTAATTGGGAACCGGAGGTTAAAAAACTAATGACACCCATAACTCCGAGAAATGTGGAAGGGGGTATAATTAAATTTAACTCATACCGACCAGCAATAACTTCTAATAACACTGCTTTAGATAAGTTCAAAATTTATGACATGGTAATTTCGATATTAAATGAAGTAGGTAACAAAATTCCCGTACAACAAGAAGAGCATATTATAAATATGATTAAAGAACGAGTTAAAAGTTTAGCATTAATATAGATATGATAGAAAATCTCAAAATATTACAATGGAACGCTCGTTCAGCTGTAGCAAATAAGGGAAGTTTGTAAATATTTCTTTTTCAAAATAATGTTAATATAGTCGTTTAAGAAGACATGGTTTAAACCAAAACGTGTATATACATTTAAACATTATAACATACTTCGATTGGATAGATCTGATGGCAATAGAGGAGTAGCTTTGTTAACTAAAGAAAATTTACCCTTTCAAGAGTTAAAAGTAGTACATGCGAATAATAATGTTATGGGTGTTGGTGCCACAGTAAAATTTGAAAATGAAAAATATATTAATATTATTTCAATTTACAATCCTCCGTATAACAAAGTTTCCCAACAACAATGGGAAAGCTATTTTCAAAGAATTCCTAGTCCGGTGATAGTAACGGGAGATTTTAACAGTCACCATAGAAGTGTGGGGAGCACCATTACGGACAGTTAGGTAAAAATTTGATATCGGCGGCACAAGAGTCGGATTTGATTTTTCTTAATGATGGATCCCCTACCCTAGTCGGAAATGTAAACGAACACAACAAATCTACTATTTATATTACCTTTTGTTCATCAGCTATTGTGAAAAATTTAGACTGGATTATTCATCCTGATACCTTGGGTTCGAGGATTCAGTAAATCTGGAGGACGTACATGTTTACAAATGTATATACAAATTTGTTGGCGATATTAAAGTACCTTTTTGAACATATTAATAGGTAATCAGAATGGGTTGAGTCTGAGTCCTCTCCAGCGGCCAGTCGGGGGAGGCTGGGGTGGTGGTGATGACGGCGGTGGCGCCCCCTTCGGGTTGTAAAAGTTTGGTTTGCCACATGCACGGGGGGGGGGACACCAAATGAGAGTGTCTTGCGCAAGTAGTAGTTAAGATGTGAAAGATATAACCTAGTATACAGCAAAAGAGTAGTCTAATCGCCGACGCTTTCGGCGCCGCCCGTCTGGCTATTGCTCCGGGGTTGCGGTGGGGACTCAATAAATAAAAATAATCTGGCTGTGGCTGTCAGGCTGATCAAAAAAAAATGTAATGCGAAACCTCTACTAAATGACGCTAAAAGTAATTTTTCAAAATCGGTTTATAACATTTTGATAAAAGTTTACTTTTATGCGTGAAGACATAAAACACCTAAAAACACACATGAGCCCTCTCCAGTGTCTCTAAAGCAAATAATAAATTCTGCTAAAAATGCATTATCGATTCGATAGATAATATCTCCAAAAGTGAATTTTTATAACGTTTATAACTTATAACTTGTAAACGCAAGTTTCGAGGAATGTCAAACTAGAAAAGTCTTAATTCGTCCCATAAAGACGTCAATATGACGTTTCAATAAATGAATGGGTTTTATTCCATGGTTTAACACAATAAGTAACTATAAATTTGGGGGACCGCGGTATCCGAGTGGTTAGCATGAGAGACTCTCACGCCGCGGTCGTGGGTTCGATTCCCACCGTCGCCTCTGGCCCTTTTTTCCCGATAACCCCCAATTATGAACAACATATATAAGAATTCGTCATGGATATGCAAAGATCATAAGGCCAATAAGAAAAAAAAAAATATATATATATATTCACCTTACTAGAAAGTCGAGCTTATTTTTGTTGTGTTTGAATGCAACGAAATTTTCTCACATCGAATCCTCAATTGCCTTGGAATCCAAACTCTGTAAATTCTGTTCAAGAGCTTTCAAAAAATTCGATTTCAGCCAGCAAAAAAAGGCAAGTTCTTAGCCAAATTGAATACACGAATCGAGCAGTAAAGCTAGAAGGAAGATGAGGATGTAGTAGTAAGTAAGGCTAATAGTTAGAGCAAGCTGAGGGTAAGTCTTCATATAGGATGAGCTTGTAAAACAGTAATAAATAAATAATAAATAAGTAGGTAAAAGTGCTTTTATTCTTTAAATATTCTTAAAAATTGTAAGGGATTTCAAAGAAAAGTATTGTAAAGAAAAAATTCAAACATTAAAATTACAAAACTGTTAGTATACAATATTTATAAACGCTTCTTCCCAAGCTATAAAAGATAATTTCGGATTGTTTTATTGAAAATAACATTGGATGTAGCAATGTTTTTGGTTGGAGGGATTGAATGGCGGGATTTTTGATTAATATATATTGTTATGTAGGATGTCACTTTTTATTCTCTTTTGGTCTATGAATTGAAATCAAAATGTGTTCCGGCCTTATCACGTTTATATACATTACGCCGTTCTTGTGTCTGAAAGAGCGGAATTTTTTTTTTTAAATGAAAACTAGAAATTCTTTTAGAATAGATTCCACATTTCGTCGTTTTGATTGATTTGGTCATGAGATAATCGTTGAAGTGAAATGTCCGGTTGAAAAATCCCTAGCTCGCTATCTATTGACCATTGCCAGCCGTTCGCCATTCAATAATTGAAACATGTGACAGACTGGATGAACTTTTGCCAGCCCTTTTACTGATTAACTTTTGGTGATGAGGAGATAGGTTTCACATCGTCAATTTGGGTTTGATGTTCTCGCTCGTTATTTGATTAATCTTTTCGCTCTAACTTACATCAGTCTGGGAAGGCGTGAAAGCCGAGGAAATGGGCTCCTCATAAATTGACCGACCAAGCTTCAGCGTCTAAATATCCTGTATTCGGCTACTCGTGTTACAAACTTTGCCAGTAGATTCTACATTCAAAATGGAACCAAAAAGTCCTAATTAACTGTGGTCCAAATCTTTACAGTTTCGGAGTTATTTCACTTTTTCTGCTTTTTTAAGATTTCACGACCTTTCTTCAAATAAACAATGATAACCGCAAAACTAAAGGGTTTTGGACAAATCCGTTGAGACTATTGAAAAGTACGTTGAATTTCCAATAAGATTGATCAACACTAAACTTGTAAACGCTAGTGAACTTTTAAATTTTTTTTCAAAGTTGAAAAACATACTATGGTGATTCTAAAGTACTATTTTCAAATCTAGAGACCAGCTAATTTCAGAAAACGTACTCGATCTAATATCCTTTTTAGTGGTGCAACAGCTTTTTTATTTATTTTTTTGAAAGAAGAAGAAATTGATAAAGTAAAAGAAAAAAACCGTGGTTGAAGGATCGGTAAGGTGGAAAGATTAATAATAATAAAAAATAAAAACTTAAGGAAATTTTGAATGAATTTATTAAACGTGTTTTTAATTTTGATTCTAAATGCTCTCCACCCTTCGCAATGTATTTTCGACGCACCGCCGTTGCATTAAACCCGCAAAACCTGTACATAGGATGTACATCAGCGTATTCTTCATTAGAAAAAGAGCCATAGTGTTCACAAGAAATCACACAGATAACTACAAATCTTTTGAATCTTAAAACTCTTTTATTCCGGAGAATAATAATGCAATAATCCTTTAATCAAAGTTGCAGTCGTGTTGGTAAATCAGTAAACAATTTCCTTAAATTTTTATGTTTTACTATTATTAATCTTTCCACCTTACCAATCCTTCAACCAAGGTTTTTTCTATTCCTTGATTAATTTTTTCCTCTTTGGAAATGTAATTAAAAAAGCAATTGGACCATTAAAATGGATATTAAATAGAGTAGTTTTCTGAAATTTGCTGGTCTCTAGGTTTGGAAATAGTTGTTTAGAATCACCATAGTAAGTTTTTCAACTTTGAAAAAAACAAAATTTTCAGAGCTCTCGCTACTAAAACGGTTATTTCACTAACGTTTACAAGTTTAATACTGATCACAACTTAAATCTTGGGAATTTAACATACTTTTCAATGGTCTCAACGGATTTGTACATAACCTTTTAGTTTTAGTCGTGAAATCTTAAAAAATCAGAAAAAGTCAAATAACTCCGAAACTGTTGAGATTAGGACCACGGTTAATTAGTACTTTTTGGTTCCATTTTCAGTGTAGAATCTACTGGCAAAGTTTGTAACAAGGGTAGCCGAACACCCTGTATTTGGCTTTCATTGTTTGCACGGCACTAATTAGAGACTTTTTGACCGGATTGTCACATACGACGCAAAACGGATCCTGTACAGTAATACCAGGAGGTCGTACCGGTGACTTTAACCAAATGACTGTCCCATTGACACCGTAAATCAAGTATTCACCAACAAAAAGTGATGTTTTGTGTAAAGTGGAATACGACAGGCATTGTGCACTACGTGTCTGCCACGTGGCCATACGATTACCCAGATAATCTCCTCAGTCCAACGGCAACGAGTAGCTCTTGCCCTGTCCCAGAAAACAACCTCTTGCGAACAGAAAATGAGTCATTTTTCACCAGAACAGCGGGAGAACTCATACGGCTTGAACGAGACACGGGGTGATAATAAAGCTTGCTTGGGAACTCCTAATACACCAGACCACCAACTGACTTTCACTTTTTACTAGCAACGGACTATTGGAAGTTCGTTAATCGCCTAAAGCTGGAAGACGACATGAATTTATATTTGAAGTACAGAGACTAAAATTTTTTAAGAAGTGCAATAACAGTAATCGAAACTTGATTCAATTTAAAAAAATTATCTATTTATCTGTAGAAATATTACGTATATACCATTATGCTCAAACCTCATTTGTAGCCAAATACAAATTCATTTTTCATTTTGGAACTTAACGTAATTTAATGATCCATTCCGTTTGTAGAGGAACCAGTGGTATCGACATTGACCTGAGAAGAGTGGACATCGACCAATGTCCACTGCCGCCAGGAAGCACACAATTAAATATTTTTGCCGCTTCGGACAAGTGCAAGAAAAAGACAACCGAGGTATGTATGTGACATATTCGTAATTGAAATTTTCATTATTGTAAAAAAATTATGTCGAAATATTTTTTTCAAAGATATGTGCGAGAAAAATTTAAGAAAATTATCAACTTTTTTGTCATGAGTTAAAAGTTTCATCGTGGACGATCTGATCTGAGGTTTTTATTTTAAATTTGTTTTAAATATTTCACCCGGCCATAGGTACCGTAACAGGCTATTCTCTTTGGAGCGCTATTCGCGCATACTGAAATTCGAAAATACCCCTCATCCTCTTAGAAGAGACGACGTATCGTGGACAAAAACAGATGAAGAGAAAGGATCGCTATACTCAACTTATTTGAGTACTTGTACAATACGTCCACATCAAAACGGCTTTACGCATAACATACCGCTGAAGTCGAAGCTAAACTAGACAGACCTCTACCACTCGACTCCCATCCCCCAAAGCTTTCTCCCCATCTGATGTCAAACGCATTATTTGCAAATTCCCTCGTAAAAAATCTCCCGGTTATGGGTTGCAAATAGCACTACCAAAGTCTTAAACATGCCCTTATCCACCTGTATAACTCGGGCCCAAGAACCACACACTTCCCAATCCTTTGGAAATTTGCCTCAATTATCATGGCCTCAAAACCCAACAAACCATTGCACAAGGTCTCTTCCTATCTTCGTAACTCTTTCTTCCCATGTCGAGAAAAATCCTTAAAAAACTTCTCATGCAACGGATTTATCCAGTACTTAATTCCCACCATTCCATCATTAAATCCCTGAAAATCAGTTTATTCCTGCCTTATTCCCAGTTTTCTACATCATCACTCTACAGTTCAAAATTCCACCTCGTTGTAGAAGTTATCGCCTTTAAAAAAAAAGTTTCCCGGCTGTCTTTCTCCAGTGTTCTGTCTTTGGGTCTGCCATGTTGGGATACTTTGAAAATTGAATCTGTGTAAAGGCATCCTCCCCACTACCTACTACAATACTTTACTGTTAAGACGACTGTTTCTTCTGTGTCACATAAGCTTCTTCCTATTTACCTATGCATCCGTATAGGCAGGAGTCCCGTAAGGTAGTGTTCTTGGTTCATTGCTTTACTTAATATACTGCTGAAATCCCTAATCGCTCCCGGCCCTGTTCACATTTACCGAAAACACTAAATGCTGTCAATAGAAATGATAAATGATGGAGTGAGTGTGGTGTTCAATACTTTTTAAAAGGATAGTTCCTACTCACAGTAAGTTGTTTTGCAACGATCCGGATTTCGAGCCTTTTAGCTCATCAGGTTGAAGGACTTCTACAACCACGTCTGTCGACATGAATTGCCAAAGTGAACCGCTGATACCTCCGCNAAATGTATTGAGAGTATGGGAAATTATTTTGATTAAAGAACATTGCTTTAAAGTAACTAGTTTCTTTTTTTTTGTTTAATATCAAAATCCTGCATTATTTTCCGGACAACCCAATATAACAGATTTTGATCTACCTCCCATTTTAAATATGTACATAAATAATATCAAACATCCAAATAATTAATCTAATTATATCAGCGGTTCACTTTGGCAATTCATGTCGAGAGACGTGGTTTTAGAAGTCCTTCAAGCTGATGATGAGCAAAAAGGCTCGAAATCCGGATCGTTGCAAAACAACTTATTGTGAGTAGGAACTATCCTTTTAAAAAGTACTAAATGCTGTCCTCTCACAATGATCATGTCCTTGCTGTTCGTTCCTTACTATCTTACCTTACCGTCCTTGAGCCTTGGATAATGAAGTGGAGGAAAAAATAAATGAAAATTAATGCCAGTAAATTAACTTCACATTTTGGCTAGCAATCCTTCCTCCAGTATACATCAACCGTGTTCATCTACCTACGACGAACTGTGTTCGCTACATAACACTATACATCGACAAACGCCTCGGGTGGAATCCCATACTATTCTTAAACGACAGGTACTTAATAGACTATACAAACCTCTATCGCGATTCTCAGGTAGAAGATCGAAACTATCCATTAACAATAAAGACTAATCTACAAACCACTGCATAAACCGATATGGACTTACTGTAGGAAGTATGAGGCTAAGCCAAAGAATCTATCTCCCTTTCAAATCCAATCCTGCCAGTCCAAAACCCTCCGTTGTATTACAAATACTATTTGTTATGTGTCCAATCGTACCCTTCACCATGATCTCAACAGCCCTTATGTTTCCCACGCCATCAATTCAAGATGCAAAAAATTCCACTCCTTACTTACTGGTCAACCCAATCCCTAAGTAACCCAACTTTCCTCAGTCATACCTTCTAACAGTTCACAATACAGACTGAAATGCCGATGGCCCCGTGATCTCATCTTGAGTGATAGCGTGTGAATGCTTAGATTTACTTATATCGGAGTGTCACTTCTGAGTAACTTCTCCGCTCAAGACAACACAGTCAATTACATTTCTCTATCATTATTATATTTCTTTGTGCTATTTAACAGTTGTAACTTTTAAATAAAAAGAAAACAAAAAATTTTTTGCTATTTTTTAAATTCAGATTTGCTTTCGCTTTATATTTAAGATTTTTCACTTTTTTAACATGCCAATTACATGCTGTTGTAATATTTTAATTATTTACATTAAAGAAAAAATATTCGTGTTAAATAGTTACCTTAATTTTCAGTAAAGTTTTTCCCAATTTCAATTTTTTCCAATTTTTATATTTTTTTATCGTTAACTTAAATTTACGGGTTTCCTTTGTATGTGATATATCTGTTTCATTAAATTGCCGAATTTGAAAATAAACTAAGTCAACTTTTATCTCAGAAAAAATAACGAACAGAGAACCCAAACTGGCAGTATATTTTTGATCATTATTAAAAATAGTTAACTAAATCAAGAGGGTTTCTCCCGATTTTTCCAAATTTTACTTGTAGCTTTTCTCAAGTTTCTTCTTAAACGCGTAGAACGGTTGAGATAGATTGCACATTCCTTTCATCCGTTGTACCGATAAAAATTGCCACGTCTACGACTTTCAAACGTATTTTATATCCGAGTTGGATTAAAAATATTGTCTGGACCAGTGTTTTTCGCTTCTCGCCCTAGGAGGTTTTCTCCGAGTGGCCTGTTTTTTTCATAAAAACCTCTCAATATTCCCTTCAAAAAATAGTTGATTCCAAGAACTGGAATAGACCTGAATGTTTAATAGTCCTATATTAAACACATTTCCTCTCTTTAAAATTAAACCTTTTAATTAAAAATTTTTATGTGGACTAAATAATAAAAACGAAAATCTCCCAGGAAATTTCAGAGATCACAATATATTAATGTCGCCTAAGGCAGAAAAATCCAACTGAGGAAAAAACGCTACAATGACCGTCAGAAACTCAAACGTTTTTGAAGCGAGGGATATTGGGAGGGGGAGTGTAAATACTCTTCCATAAGTTGGGAGTAAGTATTATGGTCTATTATGTAGGGGTGTGGAGAGAACATTGGTCATATAAGAGGCGACCTAGTAAAACGGTCTAGATATTTTGTGGTAGAAATAATTTTGCACCTCCCCCCCCCCCCCAAATCATTTATTATATACTTTTAGTGATGCTATAAACCATCTGAATCGGTCATTCCATGTAATTCCGTTGTCAATTCAAAGGCAACACAATTTTTTTTTCGTTTTAGGCTTCATCATATTTTCTCTAACTTATTAAACTTTTCTCAAGTTGTCTAGATAGTCATATGAATTGGTTTCGGAGTTCGCACCTTTTTTCACTTTGTCATTCCTGACAAGAAGCGTATAGATAACTGATCTAAATTCTCTCGTGTGTTCTGTTCTAGCTAAAAGCCGAAAAGCTTCGGGGCGCGGGTTAAAAACATTCATTAAAATTTAAACCATTTGTCCGACTTACGCTGTAGGCTATTTTGATATGTAGTGGTGTATCTCACTCTCTTTCAGTACAATTCTTTTTCCCTTCTGTCTCTCACTTTATCTCTCTCCATCCCCCTATCACCCCCTTGCCCACGTGTGTATGTGCGTTTTTTAATGAGTTTCGGAGTAAGTGACCAACTATTTTCGTCTTGTTTGACAACCGAAAAACTTCAAAGCAAAGTAAAATCTATACAACGCAAAACACATGATATTAGTAGATACGAGAGTTTTTCACACAACAAGGAAAAATATTGTAGAAAAGCTTTCAACAAATCGCCCCATGAAAACTTAAATCAGACTTATTTAAAGTGTAATTCTAAAACATAATAATGAAAGCAAAAATCTGAGTTTTTCCATCATCCTTTTCACAGATTCAGGGTGCCCCGTAAAGAGACGTCAATATTTCAGGAGGTCATCCTAAATGACAAATTGTTCTAAAAACCCTCTCGTCCATATTCTGATTCTCAATTGTATTCGTAATATTTCACTTTTCAGGTCACTTCAATCTTTCACAATTTAATTCCATAAAGTCCCCTCCACCTCATAAGATGTTAATCCTACTGTCTGTTTGACTACGACGAGCGTTGTAAACCCTAAGGGATTCATTATTTTTACAGTTACTTTAAGCTAATAAAATATAAAATCACATAGAGCATCAACTTTTACGAGTTTCCAAAGTTCTTATCTAAAGGCGAAAAAAGTCAAAAACCTAGAGCTTTGTTGCATTTGAAATGATGTATTGTATGATGAATAGCATGCCTTAACATCACTGATTCTATTAAAACAATTCATGCAGCCGCAAGAGAACGTATACGGAGGATGTCCCATGAATATAGTCTTACATTTGGAGGTTATACAACCTGTATATTTGTACTAAAAAAATCGTATTGACCAAGATGCTCAGTTGTATTCGAAATATTTCACTCTTCAGGTTATTTCATATTTTTCCACGTACAGTCCATTAGGTCCGACGTATATATCTGTTTTTTTTTTTCTTTTTTTAGTTTTAACCTCAAGGAAACAAAATACAAAACCACTTAAAACATAAACTTTTTGGTAGAAATGATAAATGATGGAGTGAGTGTGGTGGTCAATCCTTTTTAAAAAGATAGTTCCTACTCACAGTAAGTTGTTTTGCAACGATCCGGATTTCGAGCCTTTTAGCTCATCATCAGGTTGAAGGACTTCTACAACCACGTCTCTCGACATGAATTGCCAAAGTGAACCCGCTGTTACCTCCGCCAACGCGACGTTCCAATTATCAGCTGATTTTTTTAATGACGCTCAATTTGAACGTGCGAAACGCGGAAATTATAACACAAATAAATATTAGAATAATAAATACTTAATATTACTATAAATTACTATAAAAATAATAACAATTAAAATAATTAGATTAATTATTTGGATGTTTGATATTATTTATGTACATATTTAAAATGGGAGGTAGATCAAAATCTGTTATATTATTAATGCATTTATCACCATGTTCAATTTTACATTTTTTAATTTCAAATTTCTCAAACCAATCTAATTCTTTCCCTTTGTTGAAACTATGTAACACTCTTGTATTTAGATTTGAATTGAAATTATGTTTTGTTTCTTTTAGATGGTCCTTAAATTCCGAAAATTTGCTCGATTTAGGCAAGTGTTCTTTTACTCTTGTTTTTATTTCTCTACCGCTTTGTCCTATATATTTAATATCACAATCATTACAATTGAGTTGGTAAACCCCGCTTTTTGCCAAGTTGTCTACTTTGTCTTTAGGTTTTGAGAGGATGTTTTTAAGTGAACCCGTACTTCTAAAAGCTATTCTAAAACCTTCTTGTTTAAAAATTTTACTAACTTTTTCCGATAATTCACCAATGTATGGCAAACAACGGAAACCTAATGATTCATTTGTGGTGGGGTGGCTGAGTCCTATTGTTGATTCGTTTAAAGTTAATTTTTTTATTATTTTAACTAGCAACCTATCAATAAATATTTCTTGATAGCCGTTGTTTTTTGCTAAGGTTTTAATTCTTTTTTTATAGTTATCAGGTGTTAGAGGAAGTTTTAACATCCGGTCTATGAGCCAAATGAAACCAGCGCCTTTTGGGACCATGGGTGGGAAGAATAGGTATCATAGTGTCTTTAGTTGTGGGTTTTCTATATACGTCTATTTCTATTAGGCTGTTTATTATGGACAGTTTTAGGTCTAAAAAGTTCAAACAACCATCTTTGCCAATTTCCAATGTAAAATTTATATTACGGTGTAGAGAATGGAAGAAGTTGGAGGAATTCTTTGGGAGCCTCTAATGTAATAATTTCCGCGTTTCGCACGTTCAAATTGAGCGTCATTAAAAAAATCAGCTGATAATTGAAACGTCGCGTTGGCGGAGGTATCAGCGGGCTCACTTTGGCAATTCATGTCGAGAGACCTGGTTGTAGAAGTCCTTCAACCTGATGATGAGCTAAGGGCTCGAAATCCGGTCGTAGCAAAACAACTTACTGTGAGTAGGAACTATCTTATTAAAAAGGATTGAACACCACACTCACTCCATCATTTATCATTTCTATTAAGTGAAATTCCGTAGTAGCAATTATTCAAAGTTTATTTTATTTTTAGTGTGTTGCCATACCTGGCCTCGGATTTCGCCGAGGGAGCTATATGTGTGTATGTAAAAGAGGATTCTTTTACCCTGACATTAAAGCGCATCACAGATATTATAATGGCACAGTGATGGAAGAGGAATATGAAAAACTAATGTTGGTAAGTATCTTATTCACGTTGCTTGTGTTAAACTCAAAGCAAATTATTCTTAATAAATTTATCTTTAGATCAAAATGTTTTGCTTTGAATAAATTACAAGGAATCTATCCACCCTAGGGAATATATGATTGATTCACCCTAAATTGAACTAATACATCCATCTCAAATTTTGTGTATGTAAAATTCAGAATACATAAAATTACTGTTTGAAATGATAAATTTCAATATTGTTAGGAGATATCAAAATAATTTTATTTTTTAACTTTCACATTAATAATAAACTTTAATAAACATTATTATTATTGTAAATTTTAAAATTATTTTGTTAAATATAAATTTGTTAAATTAGGCTCCGAAGATGGCGTAATATACCTTGAAAGCTAGGCAAGATTAAAGTGTATTTATCTGTTGATCTCCATCCGAATCTGTTTAACTTAACAAAACTGTTTATTGGTTTTGCAATTTAACACTATTTTCAAGCTAATTATAACTGAGTTTAAAGCAGTGATGGTTTCCTGGCTATCCGAAAATATAGCTATGTCTTTGTTTATATACGCATCAAATTGAATTGAGTGGGTTTCTCAACTGCTTGTTCCTCTTAAAATGGCGTCCATGCCCATGGTCTCTGAATGTTTAGTCCTGGAAGGAAATAATCCATCCTCTGTACGTTCTTGTCGTACATCCAATATTTATTGACAGGACAGAGCAAGTGATTGACAGTGCCGTCCGATACTATCGTTGGATACATAAGTTTTCTCTTGAAAAGTTCAGAACAACGTTCAAGTTTTATTTCGGTTATAGAAACGGCCATGATAGGTACTTATAATCACGAAAATTGTCATCATAACTTTTCGGCAAAGCAGATTTCCGTTCGGAGATCTAATCGAGTAATTCGATGGAAATCAATTTAGATATCCCCGTTCGACAAAATGACAGTACGTTTTGACGGGAGATTGAAAATCTCATTTCGCTTACAAAGCTGTTCATTAAACTTCTGGGGTTCTCTCGGTTTTTTAAGGCTGGTCCAGTTCTCCAAAAAGTTTTCTTATTTAAACAATTTTTCATTATATAGAGAGTTTTAAATTATTTAATTGTCTTATGTTGCCCCTTTAAAGATTATTTTCCAGCAAGCCGACTAACTTTCTTTGCAATTGATTTACGTGTATTTATGAAATATTTAGCGTTTTCTTAATCATTTTTCATTTATGAAATGGACGTGAGGAAACTGCAAATTAAAATATAGGCTTATGTTAAAATAAACCTGTTTAATTGTTTTCTCTAAACTTGTTATATTTTCAAATATCTTCTATGATGACTGGTGATAACTTTGAAACCGCCCCGCCAATCTGACGTCAGCTTTACAGGTTTAGCCTACAAACAATGGCACAGATTTGGCCTTCGTAAAAAAATAAAAAATAAATCATTCAAGGAGTTTTTGTTGAATTCTCCTATTCATTTTGATTAACAATGACATAATCTCAAAGCATTGTTGACACAGCACAAAGAAAAAAGTCTAACTTTCCATCAGGTAATCATAAAGTTCGATTTAAATAAGAATTATGATATTTTTAGTGAACACAAGACGTAGGAGAAAAATTGCCCCGTCTCATCCATCCCAAAATTTTTCGTTTGTTTGTAATGATAATTCGAATTTAACGGCTTTAGTTTCTTTGTTCTTTTTTTATTTATTTATTTATTTTTTTGGTGGGAATTGTTGATGATTTTTCATATATCTTATGTTATTAAACCTGATTCTGCTTATTATCTTCTTTCCCATATTAAAAAAATCGACTCACATATAAGCTTGAAATATATGTACACCAAAAGTTTAAAAACCATATTTTCGAAGAAAGATTAAGCAAATTGCAAAAATATTTTTTTCCTCGGCTTGTATTTTAACAAACTACTAATCCCACGTTCTAGCATCAGGTTTGAGTTGTTTTTAGGCAAACCAGGTGGTGTATTAGTAAGTTGCCTCCCTGAATTACAAAATTATATATTGTAAGTACTATTGTTTCATAAGTCAAACTTATTCCCCAATTGTTTTTTTTTTTATTTGCCTTACGTATTGAATTTCAATCTTTATATCATGCGTGCCATTATTCAGGAAAATTATATTGTTCCAACGTGTTATAATAAAATCCAGTTTTAAGTATTATTACAAAATTAATGAATATAATGTTTTTTCTTCAAATTTCAGGGTGAACCAAGTGAATATAACGAAAGCGGAATATTTGAGTGCCTGCCCTGCGCAGAGGGATGTGAAGCCTGCATAGATGGAAGTCCTTGTGTTGTAACCCTCAATTGGTTGCTCAGAACAGCTATCCTAGCACTTTCCTGCCTTCCAATATGTTGTTTACCTTTCGTGCTCGTATTTACCTATAAATATGCAAATGTTAAGGTATGTTTGTGTTCAGGTATGTAATTTTTCCCTCCCGAGATTTTCAGAAGACTTTCTTCATTCCCAACTTGTTTTTATGGTGAGAAGTACTGTAGGGTCCGTCCATCCGACCAGTAGCCTTTTAAGTTGTTATGTGGATTTTTTTGGATAAGACACAAATTTCATATTTTTTATTACATTTCGCTACGAATCAGTTTTTTTGATGATCTCCACTTGGCGTATTTTTTTACACCGTCGTTTGTTATTGAGGCAAATTGAGTATTTTTGTTTTCTTCACTTGTAAATATTATCTATTTTTTGCTCATTATGGTTGTAGCTGAGTTGGTACTAATTACTGTACTCTTACTTAGAGAAAGGAGATATTTTTTATCTAAAATCACCGCTCTATTATATTTTACTGAAAACCGACAAATGTGAGCGCTGCGATATTACGTGATGTTAAATTTAAAATGACAATATTATTAATTTAATAGCACATAACGCAGGAATTCTATTGGACAAAGAATTTAAAATTTCAAAAGGGATAAATACATAAAAAAACAAGGTTTTTGTGAAAAAATAGGAAAAATCAATTGGTGCATAAAGTGCGCCAGCGCGCAGACTCAAGGGTTCAATTACTCACGAATTTTTTTATAAAGTATCATTAACATTAATTACCTGAAAAATAAATTAGCTGCTTTATGCTATATAAGAAATAATAAAAGATGTGTCATACCCCATCTTTGAAAATTTAAACTAAAACTCAATACTTCCATTTCAATTTATAAACGGTTTTGATATCCATTTTGTTGAACGTAAAAGCTGTCAATTCAACACTGTAATTTTAAATATAGCTTAAGTAATATTTGTGGTGATAAGTGACCGTTAATCGATATTTATTTAGAAATCGTGAGATGCGGTCTGGTGTGATGTAGGTTTCAGAAAAACATTTTCTTTATCGTGCCAACGTTTCGATCTTTATTGAGATCATCTTCAGGGCCTGGGATTTACAAACATTGTTTACATATAACAATTACATTTTTGATGTGGAAAAGTCAATTTATACAATGCAAAATATATTTTTTATATATTCAATCAAAGTATACTCACTCAAAGTGTTTGTCTTCTGTGTAATTGTGCCATTCTTGCGTGTCGTGTTGAAAGTGCCAGTGAGATTTTGTTTTGTTTTTTGTTTATATACGTTGGATTTTGAAGGGGTGGGGAAGGAAGTCGGTATAGAAAAGACATTTTTGTATAAGGCGTCGGCTTCTTTGAGGTGAAAAGAGCCGACGAAGGGAAAAAATGTGTTGGTAATGGTTCGGTCAGATTATCCTTTCAGGAATAGGAAAAGGAAAGCTAAAATGTTGGGAAATTAGACTATTTGAAAAATATTTGATGTATGGAATGTAATGTGATGATATAGGTATGTTATCTGTATTGAATTTGATTAATTAATGAAACGTTGGCACGATAAAGAAAATGTTTTTCTGAAACCTACATCACACCAGACCTCACCTCACGATTTCTAAATAAATTAAGTAATATTATTTTCTTAACTTTCCCATTAGTGGACGAACTAGGCAAGCAATAACAAAAATATCAAGGTTTCGATTAAATGCCGTAAATTACAAAGCGGTCCCCACTTCCAACTCCTCCATGAAACATAAAGTTGAACAATAAGCATTTTCTAAATGTATATCTGAAAAATTAGGTGCTACTAATTAATGATTAATTTAGTATTTTTTCTAGGTCGTAAGAGCTGCAAGCCCTGCCCTTTTAAGGGTAATAACACTTGGAGCATTTTTTATTTATTGCACTGTAAGTATAATTTTAATTAATATATTAATTTAATTACTATTCTTATATTAAATTATCAGATTGTGTTTAACATGTCATTGTATACATAGTCCTTTTTCTGTGATCCTCCAAGGGACCTAACAACCACAAATCGAATTAAAACAGTTCAATTTACTTAACGGAATAATTGATTGCTTGGAACTCTAAAACAAGATTTCTTATTTACTTAGTAAATGTGTTTGCTATTCTACTGTGCGGTGATAATTAAATAACGAACTGTTTTTCAGACTATTGTGATGTATCCGAGGCCAAATGTGTTCACCTGTACCGCACGAGTATGGTTGAGAGAAATAGGTTTCTCACTCACATACGGTGCCCTCATGTTGAAAACTTGGAGGTGATTGAATTTTATCTAATCATTTTGTATTATAATAGTAATTATCATTTTTCAAGCAAGAATCGTTAATATGTTTGTACGTACTAATTTACTGACTTGGGTAGTCACCAAATTCGTCTTAAATCAAATACTGATTGTTTTACGGCAAAAAGACAACAGCAAGCTGGGATGCTGGAAGCCTTTCGCAATGGTTGTCAACATCGTCTGGAACAAACAAGGTTAAATCGGTCAACTCTCTGTTTTCTACCTGCTCTTACGACGAAAATTTGCCTGCTTCGCTTCGTGAAGACGGGCGGGGTTACTTAATGTAATATTTTTTTTTTTTTTTAAATTTTTTTTTATTTATTTGTAGCCTATACATACTTGTACATAATACAAATGTTATCTCAATGTATATTGTTTACCGCTCGGTCACAGCACTAACACTGATGCCAGCGCTGCACCCGGAGGACGCATGCCATGAGAAGCCAGCCAGTGCTGGCACTCATTTTAATAGATTAANTATGATGCTTCCACTACAGCGACATCCATAGAACTGAGATTTTTTGGAGGTTACTGATTTCAGCCCCACCATCGTTTTAAAATGTCTAACACCTACGATTTTAAAACAATCACTACCGCTGATACTGAGGCCGTTGCACCCAGTAAAACAGCTAGAGGAGGATGTCGAGGCAGAGGCAGTCGAGGCCGTACTAAGTACAACACCGCCAGGAAAGAATCCTTCCGTGTCGACAAGGGTCGACAATACATGAAGGATATGCAGGCTAGCATCGTAAAAGACTTGTACGTTGGAGAAAAGTCAATAGAAGATGCACTTGCTAAGCTCGAGCAAGACAGAACGTTACAAGCGATCACTACCACCATAACAACTCGTGAGTTTCGTTGGCACAGATCGAAGTCAAAGTCCAAACGCAAAGAAGAAGCATAGCTCACGTTCCGCGCTACTCTGAGCACGTAAGACCATTTACTAATATGTATGAAATGAAAGAGGCGACAAAGGCTCTAACGATGAGCTTCACGCCCGTAACTGAAATTTTAAACTCCATTGGGCCTATCAGTTACAACGAAAAATATTTCATACCAGTCTTACCTCCTGACGCGACTGACGCTCAAGGACGCTTTATTCCACGCCCAGAGAATATCGTTTTGTCCAATCTACGGAAGACCGTAGTCGCCCTCGCAGATGAGAACACGCCGGCTCAATATCGTACGGCCTTTATAAACAATAACTCGATTCCAGGAGCAATCTTCAACACGGCAGATGTATTGACCAACCCAGATGAGATAATACCACCTGACTATTCGTCAGAGAAGTTGGTCGCTGATGTCGGATTTGTCTTTCCCTTCCTATCAAGACTAGAAAAGAAGATACCAAAACTAGTTGGAAAGGCAACGCTCACACCTTCTGGACCCGGCAGTGTATCGCAACTGGTATCAAATAAAATGGAAAATCTGAAGATACCTCCTCGTCACAATGGTGAGGATATGCGTATTTATTATGCAAGATGTTATCCCGCTGGAAACATCACAGAGTATTGGTGTTCCGAGAAACTAACATCTCTCGAAGCAGCTCATGGTCAGTCAAACATTACTGGCGAGCTACCAGTATACACCTCTCTGAGAACTCCCTTATTTCTACCAAGGGAGGAGGCCGTTGCAGCGTATTCCTTTAATGGAACGTATCGCGGCATATATCAAATTAAATACGCTCCATGATTCTAATGTAATATTAAACTAAAAATGGGCGCCATGCTGTTTAATATGACACGGAAACAGCGAACCGTAAAGAAAAAATAAAATAAAAATAAATCAAAGAAAATTAAATAAAATTAAAATTAGCTAAGTAAATAGAACACAATATTTACATCAGGAAAAAAAAAAACATTTATTCCCAAGGAAACCAAAGTACCAAACATACATAAATAATAATTTTCAACGGGTAACATTTTAACAATATGATAACAAAGTTACACACTAAATGAATCTCAATTATCTTAAAATCTAAATAAACATTCATTACAAGTTAAACTTTCCTCGGAACCAGTGTCCATCTATGCTTCTTGTTTCAGACGATTGAAAATCCCCGCTTCCAGGAAAATGTGGAGCGCCTTCTCTAAAGTTGGGTGGGTCCGTTGTCAACTTCGTCGATCAAGGAATTGATAATTTTCTAATGATCCGGCCAGGCCATAGACTCCGTCTCGACGCACAACGACCTCTCTTCCACCCTCTCACCTACACTAATCTAAGCCTAACCTAGGCCATCTTAATTTTTGATTGACTTCCTAAGCGAGGAGTGGAAGGAGAAATGTAATTCTGGAGGTGAACCCAGAAATGAGGAGGGAGTTATTGAGGATAGGGAGGATCAGAGTGGGGTGGGTAACAAGTCGTATAGAGGATTTTACGACGGTTCTCCAGTGTGCAAAGTGAAGAACAAGTTGAAGAATTCATAATAGTGAATAATTTAGACGTTCTAAATAAAAGTGGGAACCTATCAACGTTTTACTACAAGAGAGCATCCACTAACATTGATGTTACGTTGAGTGGGGTGGGGATAACAAAGAATATAAGGGAGTGGTGTGTGAAGGACGTAGAAGTAGGGACGGACCATAGATTAATTTATTTCGAGGTTGAGGTCGGTGGAAAGAGAGGGAGAGGGAAAAAGAGCGCAAAATGGGGGAAAATAGATTGGGTAAAGTATAGGAAAGAATTAAGGAACCCGGAAGTAATGTGTGGAAGGGGAAGTCTAGAAGAGGACATAGGGAAGCTGGACGGGAGGATTATGGGAGCAATTCATGGGACAAGGAGAAGAGGAAGGAAGTGATCTATTCAGCAGGCCTGGTGGAGTAAGGATCTGAGAAAAGAAGGAAAGAGGTTTACAGGTTGAGAAGGAGGATGCAGGCCAGAAGTGAGAAGGAAAGAAAGGAAGAGCTGAGATCCAGATACAAGGAGGCGAGGAATATATATGTACAAGAAATTAAGGAAGCAAAAGAGAGGGAGTGGATGGAGGGGATAAAAAAGGAAAGGAAGACGGTATGGGCTCAACATATAAAAAAGAGGTCGGTAAAGTTAAGGAAAGAGGATTACTTTCTCACTAAAAAAGGCGACGCTCACACATTGACTGGGAAGGAAACCCTGGAGGTGATCTTGGAGAAGTTCGTTGGAACAGATGTCCCGGCTAGAGGACCTGTGCCAAAAGGAAATTAGAAAGGAGTTGGATAAGCTGGAAAAGGATATACCGGAGGAGGAAACACAATCAATAGAAGAAGAAGAGGTCTTAAAGGAGGAACTATCCGGTGACGTGCTGTGGATATTGGAGGAGTGTCGTAGGAGAAGAGTATTTCCCTAGAGATGGAAGGTGGGGATGCTGGTAATGTTATTAAAAGGGGATGACAAAGATAGTAGCCAGGTAAGCTCGTACCGACCGATCTGTTTGCTTCCGATGTTGGGCAAGTTGTGGGAGAGAATTGTTCTGCAAAGAATGGCCACGTAGGCGGAGTTCCTGTGCGACATCTTAGGGCACGGCGAGGTGGACATTTTGCTGTTCCTGTACCTCAGGGTTAAAAAGGATTTATTGGAATAATGTAATGTATTAGCGTGAAAAGAAGAGGGTTGTTTGATCCTGCCTCCTCTTCTGCGCTGAGAATGTGACAGCTGGAGATTAAAAGTAAGTTATTTGGGAGAGTGGATTGGCTCCAGCCGCGCCGCGTAGCATATCCAGTACTCTGGGGAATGAAGGTGATCGTGGTCAGACTTCTAGATTTGTATAGGGTGATGGTGTATATACACTAAGAGGCAGAAAAGGTGGACACACTTGTTTTTTTACGTAAATACTTGTAATCGTTTTAATTTTAAATGTTACTGTATTAATAAGTAAATATAACGATGTATATGAGTATTTTACAACAGTTTATTATAAAACTTACATTTAACAATTTTTTTTTCATTAAATATAGTTTCTTTTAAAAAATATGCATCCATATTTAAATTTTTTTATATAAAATTTTGTATTATTTTTATGTAATATTTAAACAAGAAAAGTTTACTCACCGACAAGCTGCATGGCCAAGATGGAAGGTAGAATACTAGTTATCCTTTGTTATACTTGTCCCGTTTAAAAATGTAGATACTTAAGATTAACAAATATTTTTTTGTTATTTTCGAATAAGTAATGAATTTACTTTTTTAAAAAGCCACATGGAATTGCTTTTTAACAAAGACGAACAATTTAAAAAAGGCGAATTAGTTTTAAAAATCTCCTTGTTATTAAAAAAAAACACCTATAATAATAATATTACCTTATTGTTTATATAAAATAACACTCAAACATATTCCTTGTTAAATACACATAACCATTCTGAAATAATAAAAACTCAAACGTTTTATCAATTTTTCTATAAACTCCTAAAATCACTGGTCGAAATCAGTATCCGATAAATTAGAGGCAATCTGCTTTTACTCCAGAATCGTTTATCGGCTTAACAAACCAGGAAAACCTTTCGATATAATCTGTTTTCCAGCACAAAGTCACTTCCGTAAAGAAGGTCTTAGAGAGGCTAAAGCCTCAATTGAAATGATCACATGGTGCGTTGAAGACACATAAGCGTTTGAACCTCCAGGTTTAATTTAGTTAATAAGCCATTTTGCAAAAATGACCTAGGAGTTACAGCATAATTAAATGTATAAGATGAAGTATTATCTTTCTTTATGATTTCAAACTTTTATAATGTGAAGTATTTTGATGATGTTTGCAGGCTGTTTTATGAAGCTTGATTGTCTTCCAAGCCAGAAGTTGGCAAAGGGTCAAAACGTGCCTAAAGTGTGATCAAAGACAGAAGGAATAATTGCTAAAAATTTATAATTTAAAAAAATTACAATCAAGGGAGGCCATTTGTCAGTTTAAGACACGTCTTGTTTGTTTTTTAAAATTTTTTTTTTAAATTTTTATTTTACGAGAGTTCACAACAGCAGAGGTTATATCAACCCTCGGGGTGCCGGTGTTT